GGTAAAAAGGTCTATTGACTGAGCTATTACAACCTGTTCAAATCTCATGCTGGATTTTCGAAAGGAGACGTTTCCCAACAGGTCTTTCATCAGCATTTTAACTAGGTTTCTTTAAACACTTTTGAAAATAGTATTGCGTTTCTTTTTCGTAAGACGGAACTGACCTTAATGTGTCCAAAATAAGACGATCCGTTCTTCTTTATATAGTCACCCGGTGTCATCTCCCGTGTTTTGTTGTTCAGATCACAAACGCGTTTTGTGGTATCCACACCAGGATGAACATTGAACGACTTGCAGTTGTTGTTTCCGATGCATTTTTGATGACATTCAAACTTGTTATCCACAGTAGACGTATTCATGACATGACCAACCAAAGTATGGTCTGAAAACCGGATAAGAAAACGAAGGATTACATAATTTTTTTACTAGGATGCTATACAAGCAGGTATTGTCAAAACAGAAATAAATAACTAAAGAAAGAGAGAGAAAAAGAAAGAAAGAAAGATGTAAATACTTACGTCAAAGACAGACAGAAAAAGATAGAGAAAAAGAGAAAACGGAAAGGAGAAGTGAACGCAACAAAAACAAACAAGCAAACAAAAAATTCGCCGAAAAGGAGAAAATGTGATAAAATGGCGCATAGATTTTTTTTTGTTAGACACCAGGCAACAGTTCTTGTGTAAAAGTATTACTGGAGGACATCCAATTGCTCTATCCGGCACTGCCTAGAGATTTATCCGGTGGATAGGGTTAACCATATTTTGAACCGTGACTGGGGCAAAAAAAAATAATGGACGTGCCTTTTATTCCAAATATTACCGCTTGTATGAAAATGTCGACGTGTTTTAGAGGAGTTGTTAAGAATAATTTGACTTTGAAAACTAAATCTTAATATGTTATCGACCGCTTTGAAATTAACAAACGTTTACGAGAACCATTCTAACTCACGCAATTGCAAAAAATATTCCTTAACACCAACAATTTGTTGAAAGTTTACCAAAGCTTTTGGAACCCATCCGGATTCCTTCATCAGTAGTGACGTTTGCTGTTATCCGCAACCTCGTTTTGATTTGGCTGGAAGATTGTTCCATAAATTGGGGAAAGGTTGTAGCCCTGATCACGGTTCATTTACGGTTGCCGGTTATGAATGTCAATGGCCTGGCGTCAGGATCTTGCGTAAAGGCATGAGGTGGTTTTCCTGGCCAATGATCTCTACACTGATCTCGTCGATGGAGTGGCCTGTGTCCCAATTAGCGTGTTCAGACACAGTAGACTTGAGATCGAAGGCGTGCACTGATTTCCGGTGTTCATATAAGTCATTTAGCCCTTGTGCCCAGTTTCCTTGCTGTTTCACCGTTGTACTCTGCATCACAATCCTTGTACCTGATATTGTAAATGACCCCAAATTTCTCCTCAGCCACGATTTCATCTTTTATTTTGGTCTTACCAGTCGCTGACGACGGGTGCTATGGGGTTTGAAACAAACGTGAACTTCACGCTTCTTAAAGATTCTTTGAAGAATCTCGGAGACCCCACTACGGGAGCACAATAAATTACTTTCTACAGGAGTTAGACCTGTGCTTGACTTGTTCTTGGAGTAAGAGATTGGGTAGTGGCAGCTGCAATAGACCAGGGTGGATATCCGCAGTGTTGCAGGGCAGTTGAAACGTTGTGACAGTTCTTGCTTGAGATCATCGGAATCAGACACGATACCGACATTTAGTACGGTGGAAAAGTGCTCTTGTAACGCTGTGCTTATGTTGCAGAGGGTGATGCGAAATTTGAACAAATTGTTGGTGTTGAAGGATTTTTTTTTGTAATATAATGTCGCAACAGGAGAATCTTCACTTTGCCATTCTAACAAACATTGCGTGCGTTTACTTACCAACTTGAGTTTCAAATACGCTCGCACAGAACTCAGAGTTCGACATCGCTAATGACGCTACCATCAGCACAGTAACCATTCGAAAGACCAAACGAGTAGGCCACGAGACAACCACGGACCAGAAGCTGAACATCCCTGTAGCTGAATGCGATACACTTATATCAGCCTTATACCCTGGGTGTTTTTAATTTGTTTAGCTTTAAACATTTTTAATGGCAGTTCCTAAAAGTAAAGCCATTTGATTTATAATTCATGACTGTTTGAACTAGAACTTAAAACGGCGTATCAGAAGCGTTGATTGAACTTAATTTATCAGCTCGCCTTAGTTTCGAATATAACGGAAGCAGATTCATGATTTATAGCTGACTGGCAGTATGCCGGTAGGTCATATATGTCTACCATCATACTAGAAAAGTGTATTTATTTCATTATTATTATTATCATTTTAACGTTAAGTAACCTTTGAATTTAAGCTTACCGTGTGGGAACAATGTTTTAGTAATCAGATATACTTCTTGCTGGACCATTAGTTAGTCGTTTTTAATAATCTATGCAAAACTTTTTTATCGGCTTAAGTGAAAAAAAAACAGATGGTCACGTAGCACAAACGATGTCTGACCAGTGGTACCTTTCCCATTCCTAACACTTTATCTCAGGTTGTGTTTCCATGACGTCAACAGTTGGATAAAGCAAAAACTTTTAACGCACAGCATTCACCTAAAAGGGGCTTAAAAAATAACTTGAAAACTCAAGAGGTGTGAAAACCCACCCATATTCAATTAAGGTATCAGCCACCCTTAAAATTGCCATTTTTCCATATTTCAGGTTTCAACGTTTTCAAATAGATATGCTTGAGAGCTTTCTTTTAAAAAAAAAATTAGAAGAAAATATTATTTCTGTCCAAAGATATCGGGGGTAAAAGATTTTTTCTCGTTAATTATCTTAATTGATCGTTGACAAGCTCTGTCATACCCGTGTCATATGTGAACTAGTAACGTGATACCGAGTGCGTGCTTCAACACAACACGTGCGAATTGTCTTCGCGTTGTTTATAGCCTTTAGTATTCTCCGTGGATATTTAGCGTTTGCTTCGGTGAAAATGCCGCCAAAAAAAAGAGAAAAGGTCGTGTCCGTTTTCGTCATCGAAACCGAGAGCGAAAAAGAAATCGAAGAGCGAGTTTGACAAAGAATGGGCCGCAAAATTGGCAGAGAGCGACAAAGGCTAATTTTATTAGCAAGAGAAGTGGCTCGAGGAGTTGGATATTCAGTAAAGCGAAAATGCTGCAGTTGCTGAGAGTGTAGCCGCTCCAAAATCCAGCTTCAAGAGCCAGGTGAAGAAAGCCAATAAAGCTCATCGACCCCATCAGCTGATGGAACGTGGAAAACAATAAGCGGTCGAGCTATCGTATCGAGCGAAAAGCTGCTTGAGAAACTGGACGAGTCTGTATCTTGTCGATTTTGCCAGGGAAGAGTCCAAGTCATGGAAAATGTAGCGACTAAGCATGGACTTGTTTCTACCCGGAGAATCCAGTGCGAGAATGAAAGCTGTCCGTCGCACAAGACAAATTCTGTTTTAATTCTTCCGAGAAGAGCAGAGCGTTTGAAATAAACCGGGCCTCAGTTCTTGGCCTTCGAGCAATCGGTGGTGACATTTGGCGGCTTCAAAGTTTTTTAGTTTCGTTGGCCTGGCGCCGATCAGCATAAACGCCTGGGCGGATCATACAAAAAAGATCGAAGGAGAGGCAAAACTTTTGTTCGAGGAAGAATTAAACCGTGCTTCTCGTGGTGTAAAAGGGTGGAAGTTTCCCAACGGAGAATTAAACTGTTCACTTGCTTGCCGCGAAAGTTTGTTCCTGTTACATGTTACCTGTCAAAGTCCTATTGTTAGAGAAAATTGATCCCTATCTGATATCAATCAGAATAAACATTTAGGTGTTATAATCTCATTCCAGGTAGGATGCCGCCAAAAATGTATTTTCTATTTTATCTCCGAACGCAAATTTTGCCGATCGACTCGTACGTTTTGAACTCCAAGTCGTCAGCCTTTCAATCAATTTGGCTAAAATTTGGCCAGAGTGATGCCATATATCTCTTCTACAAAACCGTGTCTGCGAATTTTAATACTCCTTTTCATTTTAAAGCTAGAGCTTTTTTTCCACAGAAAGGGTTGACCAATTGCCTTCACCAACTTCATTTGCTAATAAAAGAAAAACAAACGCACTTGTCAAAAATCTGAGACACGGTTTTTTAGTGGAACGTGTTGAGAAGCGAATGCGGTGTTAATTGTTTTCTTCCGTTTATGTCCGGCGGGAGTGGAACATGATTTATAGAGACGTGTACTTTTACACAAAGCGTTCCAATTTCGCAACACATTTAAGTAAATCGTTTTTGTTAGTTCAAATCCATAATCTGGAATTACTAAGCTTTTAAAAAATATATGGTTTATAGGGGTTTGTATAAAAACAACTAACGCTACAGCGATCCGCGCGCGGACGGTCCTGAAGGGTGGCTGATACCTTAAATAAACCCTCGATCCCTAGATTACTGGAACTGTGAAATTAGTCTCTTTCGTTTTCTCTTTTATGAAATAGAAACAGCTTTACGTAGAGGAAGTCTTGAGCCTGGAATTAGTAGCTCAATATTATGTTTAGCCTCGTATGTATATAACTCATAAAATACAACAAAAGAAAACTTCCCTATTTCTTTGATGAAACGCCGATCGTTTTGAAAAAGTGAACTTTATCAAGTCTATTTTTCTGGTCGGAATGCCTTTTTTTTTAAAGGAAGATGCTTTTGAAAAATAGAATAAAATGAAAAAAAATAAATGACTCAAGATGAATACTACAAGTACAAAGAAGAATAAAAAAGTGTAGAAATATTAATAAAATAAAGGAATGCTGGTGTGACTGTTGAATTAGAACTTATCAGTTGACTCTCAAATATATAGGGAGCTTTAGCCATCCGCGGGGCGAAGGAAGTGCATCATGTGCAGCATAGAATTTTGGGTTCATTAACCTACATGCATCTTTTTATATATCAATAAATCAATCACTTTTTTTAAAGGCATGTTTCTGTGGTATTTGATCCTAAAGCGGTTTAGCCAGCTTTTACTTGAGCTTACCGTGTTGGAAGAAACTTTTAGTTATCGCACTCCTTGCTGTTTGCTTTTCCCATTAGCAAACCAGTTCTATTTGAAATAAACAGGTGGCAATGCAAAGAGCGCGTAATGCAATAATGTTATTTATATTTTCCAATTTGACAACTTGCTTCTTCCATTAGTAAATTGGTTTAATTATTAATGCCAACTTTTAACGCATACTTCTTCAACTATTCTGCTCACGCAAATTTTTTTGCGGTTTCATGAATAGGCGGCCACTTAGCACAAATGATGTAGCAACAACTTGTAGTCAGCGGCCCGTTTCTTCAAAATCCCGATAACTTTTCAGGCCCGAAATTAAATATTCAAATCGAAATAAAAAGAATGAGAGGGCGGGTCCTGTCTAGCAAAATGCTCATTTTGTTTCACTAACTGATAGTTTTACCATGTAAACAACAACAGCTTTACGGGCCCTTTAATTATCGGAACTTTCGAGAAACGGGCCCCAGGAGACGGTAAAGCAGAAAAAGGGATTTTTGCTAAACATATTGGGTAGATGGCTTAAAGTCTTCGTCTTACCGCCCTGGTTAAATATATAGCTGTTCTCATCTCGAAATCTAAAAGTTTCGATTGTCAGGAGGGTGTTCGTTCTTAGCTGCCCATCATCCAACATGGAAACGAGGCCGAATCCACAAAACTTACAAAAGCAGGGAAAAAAGGTCGTCAATATGCAAGAAATGAGCAAAATTATGTAATATATAGGTAACTGGCTTGGTATTACAATATAATAACAATGGTTCAGGTGCCTTCCATGTGATTGTCACCTCTACGTATCAAACGGCTTAAGTTAAAAAAAGAAAGCACAAACGATGTCTAACCAGTGGTTGCTTTCCCATTCCTAACACTTTATCTCAGGTTGTGTTTCCATGACGTCAACAGTTGGATAAAGCAGCTAATTTAAACACCCAACATTCACCTAAAAGGGGCTTAACACATAACTTGAACACGCAAGAGGCGTGAAAACCCACCATTTACAATTAATTAAACCCTCGATCCCTAGATTACAGGAACTGTGAAATTAGTCTCTTTCGTTTTCTCTTTTATGAAATAGAGACAGCTTTACGTAGAGGAAGTCTTAAGCCTGGAATTAGTAGCTCAATATTATGTTTAGCCTCGTATGTATATAACTAGTCAAGAGTGACTCATAAAATACAACAAAACAAAACTTCCCTATTTCTTTGATGAAACGCCGATCGTTTTTGAAAAAAGTGAACTTTATCAAGTCTATTTTTCTGGTCGGAATGCCTTTTTTTTTTTTTCAAGGAAGATGCTTTTGAAAAATGCAATAAAATGAAAAAAAATAAATGACTCAAGATGAATGCTACAAGTACGAAGAAGAATAAAAAAATGTAGAAATATTAATAAAATAAAGGAATGCTGGTGTGACTGTTAAATTAGAACTTATCAGTTGACTCTCAAATATATAGGAGCTTTAGCCATCCGCGGGGCGAAGGAAGTGCATCATGTGCAGCATAGAATTTTGGGTTCATTAACCTACATGCATCTTTTTATATATCAATAAATCAATCACTTTTTTTAAAGGCATGTTTCTGTGGTATTTGATCCTAAAGCGGTTTAGCCAGCTTTTACTTGAGCTTACCGTGTTGGAAGAAACTTTTAGTTATCGCACTCCTTGCTGTTTGCTTTTCCCATTAGCAAACCAGTTCTATTTGAAATAAACAGGTGGCAATGCAAAGAGCGCGTAATGCAATAATGTTATTTATATTTTCCAATTTGACAACTTGCTTCTTCCATTAGTAAATTGGTTTAATTATTAATGCCAACTTTTAACGCATACTTCTTCAACTATTCTGCTCACGCAAATTTTTTTGCGGTTTCATGAATAGGCGGCCACTTAGCACAAATGATGTAGCAACAACTTGTAGTCAGCGGCCCGTTTCTTCAAAATCCCGATAACTTTTCAGGCCCGAAATTAAATATTCAAATCGAAATAAAAAGAATGAGAGGGCGGGTCCTGTCTAGCAAAATGCTCATTTTGTTTCACTAACTGATAGTTTTACCATGTAAACAACAACAGCTTTACGGGCCCTTTAATTATCGGAACTTTCGAGAAACGGGCCCCAGGAGACGGTAAAGCAGAAAAAGGGATTTTTGCTAAACATTTTGGGTAGATGGCTTAAAGTCTTCGTCTTACCGCCCTGGTTAAATATATAGCTGTTCTCATCTCGAAATCTAAAAGTTTCGACTGTCAGGAGGGTGTTCGTTCTTAGCTGCCCATCATCCAACATGGAAACGAGGCCGAATCCACAAAACTTACAAAAGCAGGGAAAAAAGGTCGTCAATATGCAAGAAATGAGCAAAATTATGTAAAATATAGGTAACTGGCTTGGTATTACAATATAATAACAATGGTTCAGGTGCCTTCCATGTGATTGTCGCCTCTACGTATCAAACGGCTTAAGTTAAAAAAAGAAAGCACAAACGATGTCTGACCAGTGGTTGCTTTCCCATTCCTAACACTTTATCTCAGGTTGTGTTTCCATGACGTCAACAGTTGGATAAAGCAGCAAATTGAAACACCCAACATTCACCTAAAAGGGGCTTAACACATAACTTGAACACGCAAGAGGCGTGAAAACCCACCATTTACAATTAATTAAACCCTCGATCTCTAGATTACAGGAACTGTGAAATTAGTCTCTTTCGTTTTCTCTTTTATGAAATAGAGACAGCTTTACGGAGAGGAAGTCTTAAGCCTGGAATTAGTAGCTCAATATTATGTTTAGCCTCGTATGTATATAACTAGTCAAGAGTGACTCATAAAATAAAACAAAAGAAAACTTCCCTATTTCTTTGATGAAACGCCGATCGTTTTGAAAAAGTGGACTTTATCAAGTCTATTTTTCTGGTCGGAATGCCTTTTTTTTAAAGGAAGATGCTTTTGAAAAATGCAATAAAATGAAAAAAATAAATGACTCAAGATGAATTCTACAAGTACAAAGAAGAATAAGAAAATGTAGAAATATTAATAAAATAAAGGAATGCTGGTGTGACTGTTGAATTAGAATTATCAGTTGACTCTCAAATATACAGAGAGCTTTAGCCACCCGAGGGCGAAGGAAGTGCATGATGTGCAGCATAGTATTTTGGGTTCATTAAGCTACGTGCATCTTTTTTTATATATATCAATAAATCAATGACTTTTTTTCTTTTTTTAAAGGCATGTTTCTTTGGTATACGATCCTGGCGGGTTTAGCCAGCTTTTACTTTAGCTTACCGTGTTGGAAGAAACTTTTAGTTATCGTACTCCTTGCTTTTTCCTTTTCTCATTAGCAACCAGTTCTATTTTGATCTAAAATAAACACTGGTGGCTTTGGCAACTTGCTAATCTTCCATTAGTCAATTGGTTTAATTATTAATGCCAACTTTTAACGCATACTTCCTATTCAACTATTCTGCTCAGGCAAATTTTTTTGCGGTTTCATGAATAGGCGAACACTTAGCACAAAAGATGAAGGAACAACTAGTAGTCAGCGGCCCGTTTCTCCCAAATCCCGATAACTTTTCAGGCCCGAAATCAAATATTCAAATCGAAATAAAAAGAATAAGATGGCGGGTCCTGGCTAGCAAAATACTCCATTTTGTTTCATTAACTGATAGTTTTACCATGTAAACAACAACAGCTTTACGGGCCCAGGAGACGGTAAAGAAAAAAAGGGATTTTTGCTAAACAATTTGGGTAGATGGCTTAAAATCTTCGTCTTAGCGCCCTGGTTAAATATATAGCAGTTCTCATCTCGAAATCTAAAAATTTCGACTGTCAGAAGGGTGTTTATTCTTGGCTCCCCATCATCCAACATGGAAACGAGGCCGAATCCAGAAAACTTACAAAAGCAGGGAAAAAGGTCGTCAATATGCAAGAAATGAGCAAAATTATGTAATATATAGGTAACTGGCTTGGTATTACAATATAATAACAATGGTTCAGGTGCCTTCCACGTGATTGTCGCCTCTACGTATCAAACGGCTTAAGTTAAAAAAAGAAAGCACAAACGATGTCTAACCAGTGGTTGCTTTCCCATTCCTAACACTTTATCTCAGGTTGTGTTTCCATGACGTCAACAGTTGGATAAAGCAGCTAATTTAAACACCCAACATTCACCTAAAAGGGGCTTAACACATAACTTGAACACGCAAGAGGCGTGAAAACCCACCATTTACAATTAATTAAACCCTCGATCCCTAGATTACAGGAACTGTGAAATTAGTCTCTTTCGTTTTCTCTTTTATGAAATAGAGACAGCTTTACGTAGAGGAAGTCTTAAGCCTGGAATTAGTAGCTCAATATTATGTTTAGCCTCGTATGTATATAACTAGTCAAGAGTGACTCATAAAATACAACAAAACAAAACTTCCCTATTTCTTTGATGAAACGCCGATCGTTTTGAAAAAGTGAACTTTATCAAGTCTATTTTTCTGGTCGGAATGCCTTTTTTTTTCAAGGAAGATGCTTTTGAAAAATGCAATAAAATGAAAAAAATAAATGACTCAAGATGAATGCTACAAGTACGAAGAAGAATAAAAAAATGTAGAAATATTAATAAAATAAAGGAATGCTGGTGTGACTGTTAAATTAGAACTTATCAGTTGACTCTCAAATATATAGGGAGCTTTAGCCATCCGCGGGGCGAAGGAAGTGCATCATGTGCAGCATAGAATTTTGGGTTCATTAACCTACATGCATCTTTTTATATATCAATAAATCAATCACTTTTTTTAAAGGCATGTTTCTGTGGTATTTGATCCTAAAGCGGTTTAGCCAGCTTTTACTTGAGCTTACCGTGTTGGAAGAAACTTTTAGTTATCGCACTCCTTGCTGTTTGCTTTTCCCATTAGCAAACCAGTTCTATTTGAAATAAACAGGTGGCAATGCAAAGAGCGCGTAATGCAATAATGTTATTTATATTTTCCAATTTGACAACTTGCTTCTTCCATTAGTAAATTGGTTTAATTATTAATGCCAACTTTAAACGCACACTTCTGCTCACGCAAATTTTTTTGCGGTTTCAT